AATGAAATTTCAACTGCTTACCCTCTTTCTTGTCCAGAAACTCAGAATAAGGTTGAATTAATACATGTATATATATATTTCAAAAAAACCCAAGAACATATTAATTCAGAACATATTATACAGTGCAATTTGRACRRYCTAACCVCAAARTATATAGTATATATATAAATAAATAACTATAAAAGTATAAATCGTAAATATTAAAAATATTTTTCACAGTATATATAATATATAATAATATAATTAAATAAAAAACTATTCAATATTAGACTCATTTCGAAGGTATTAACGAGACGATTATAATGATGTAACTTGTTAAAATAAAAATGTATTTTTTAAACATTTTTTAACTGATATACGATTATGTATATTGATTTGATAAAGGTTTAAAATGAAACATTTAAAAGTAAAGGACGTAAAGTAAATTAATTAACTAATCATAGGGGTATAAAGTGTAAATTTAAAATTATAATTTTAAAAGAATCGGTTGTGAGAGGGCGAGTGTATGTGAGGGGGGTGAGTGTATGTGAGGAGAGGAGAGGGTGAAAAAGTGAAAAAAGTGAAAAAAGTGATATAAAGGGTATCTTGGTCATTTAGTATTATAAGACTTTAAGACTTTTGTTAAATTTGTTTTTTAAGATAATATAGATAATATTATATATGTGTGTGTGTGTAATGCAAACACAATACTCATAGATTACCATCGTCTCCGTGAAATACTCACCCCCCATTCCGGTCAAGCCTCTGTCGAACACCTTGGTTGTTGATCATCGTCTCTCTTCCTCCTCCCTCCGGTGATACCCATCCTTTACCGGCAAATTTTTTCTCCCCCCATCACTAGTTCTTCTTCTCTGGCTGAAAAACCATAATTACTCCAACTTCATCCCCTTCACCTTCCCGCTGATGAAACCCATTGTCTCTTTTTCACCAGTAATGCAACATCCATTGTCGAACTTCCTCACTGTTCCTCCCTCACTCGCTATTTCTCCTCTCACCATATACACACATTTAAAGGGATCTTTGTTCTTCCTTGAGTTTTTGCAATCTCTAATAAAGATCAAATATGCATCCCTAACCACATGTTTGCTCCTTCTCTACATCCTTCCATGTGTAAAATATTAAACACACACACATATATATAGTGTCATACCTGCCTGTTTGCTATTTTTCTCTCTTTTATTTGAGTCTAATCAGCAACCTCGCTCTCACACACACAAAAGTAAATTAAGTGACTTGGCTAATGAGCTTCGAAGAAGATAACAATGAGAAAGAAAATAGGGGTGCGAGGGAGAAGGGGGTGGCCTGGGGGTTCATCGTAGAAGGAAGCCGGTTGGGGTAGAGGAGATGGCGTGTTGAGAAGGGAAGAAACAATAGGTATGGGGTTCACATAGACAACATAGATGGAGACAGTGGGTTTGTTTGGAGATGGAGAATGACTGCGGTTTTTTTGGAGGGGGGGATCACAATGATACAGATGCAATGTGTGTATGAGTTAATGTATGTAAGTGTGTTAAGGTGTGTGATGAAAAGGTGATCCATGTGTGTGAGAAGGTAAGTTGTGTTTTTTTGTGTGTGTCGGAGTTAATGAAGGCCGATGATATTAGGGCAGGATGCAACTTGTTGGGTTGGGTATGAAGAGGAGAGGGTAAGAGGGGAAAAGGTGGGTAGGGTAACTTAGAGCGTGCGTTTTTGCATAACACATGATGGGTAGTGTAATAAACACATTTGAGGGACCATAGTACGAAAAACCAACAAACCATAGGACTAGAAATGTAATTTACTCAAAAAAAAATTGAGTGAATTACACTGGTGGTATTATGCTAAATTTTTTGGATTTGGTATCTATAATAAACTATTTATATTGACAGTTCTTAATTTTTTATTTTTATAACAATTAATTTTGTGTCGGTTAGAAACCGTTAGAAAGAACAAAGTTTTGGAACAAACTACAAAGACCAAAAATGTAATTTACTCCAAACTTAATTGTGATTTACATATTTTTAAAAAAAATATTCATTAAAAATATGCTAAATACGGCTAACATATGATAGTTACATTAAATTTTGTTTGTTAAAATAAATAATTTTTTTAATGAAAAAATACTTATGTTTTAAAAAAGTATTAAATTAAGTTATCAAATAATTTTGGATAACTATAACAATTAAATTGATATAATAATCAAAACCTAACCAGTTCTTTTAGGCTTTCACACTCACCCGACCACCCTCTCAATCTCTCATTAATGTTTGTCCCAAAACCTAACCCGAATTTAAAATTTTGCCCTAATTTTGATATTAGCCAGTTGCCCTAAATTGCTTAGTTATAATGTTATACACTTATGTTTACATGATGTATTTGTTTGTTCTGAGTTTTTACATTTGAGTAATTGGGCTTTAATCTTGACCTGTATTTTTGCCATAAATTTGATATTAGTCATTTTGCCTTACATTAATTAGTTATAATATTATACAATTATGTTTACATGATTTATTTGTTTGTTTTGAGTTTTTAGATTATTTTTAATTTCCTCAACCTTAATTGTTGTATTTGCCCTAAATTGACTGCGTTCATTTGATATTAGTCATTTGTCCTAAATTGATTCATTTGCGTAAATTTGACGTTAATATTTTTAGATTATTTTTTATTTTCTCAACCTCTTACTTGTTTTCATGTCAGTGTTAATTTGTTTAATCAATCTAGGGTTCTTTTAATTTGGTTAAAGGTAGATTCCTAAGAATGAGAGACTAATACAATAAAGGATGACTAAAACTAAGAGATATGAGTACCAAGAATAAGAGAAAGCATAAAGTATATGAACTTAAACTTAAGAACTTGATAGAATGTAAGGAAGAGGCTTTTATATCTTTCCAAGGAAGATGATTTACAAATGAAGGTGAGCCTTCCTTTTATAAGGAAGGAAAAGGTACCCTGCATAAGCATTACAAAAGCATGGCAAAAGCAAGTAATAATGCAAGCTAATAAAACAAACTAAATGAGGTAAGTGCTTACATCACATAAAAGTGACTTCAAGCTTACATAATTTTTACAACATTATTTTTTCCTTTAGACGAGACAATTATTAATGTTATGCTACGATAATTACTTCTAATGAAAGTCAGGATGAGATGGATCGTCTTCATAAGGATCAAAGTGCTCTTCTTCCGAGTCATAATGCTCGTCGTCTTCATCAAAATCTTTTTCATCGAAAGTGTCTATTTTCTTCGTTAGATGAGTCTGGAATCAATGTTCAAGTGCTTCATCCCATGATGCAAAAATTGGATGTTCGAAAGACTAGAGTTTTTCATTGTTCATAATCTGCTTTGGGATTGAATATGGATCTACTAGGTTAGCATTGTGTTACGACAGAAATTGTCCTAAGTTTAGAAAATTTTATAAAGTTCTTTTATTGTATTGTATTGTAATACTCATTGTATTTGGGTTAAGGGCTTATGGGCTTAACTTGTAAATGTACCCTATAAATAGAGACATGGGGCTAAAATTAGAATGTTAATCATTCTTCTAATCATTCCTTGTAATTCACATGAGAGTCGTTTGAGATTGTAAGTTTTACATTTCAATAAAGAAGTTGGCCAGATTCTCAAATGCATTTCTTCAATCTCAATCTTTCTTATCTTGTTCTTGATTGTTGATTGAATTTGGGATTCACATTTGGTATCAGAGCATAATCGATACATCTATATTGATACGATCATTTTATTCATCAACATTTTCAAGAAATTTTACTGTTTTTCAATAAAACAGTAACTCATGCTTCATCATCTTCAAGTTCAACTATTTTGGGCTTAATTGATTAAAATTCACCTTAATCTTCATGTTTATAATCAATTCAATGCTAAAAGATTAGCATTATGGTGAATTAGAACCTTTCTGAATCATTAATTTTGAAGTTTTATGTTTTTATTTTGATGAATTGATGATTCTAGAGTCGAACTGGGCTTAACTGGAAATATGACTTTCCTCACCAGTCACTGAATATGTGCTTTGTGCGATGAAGTGAAGCTCATCGCTCAATAATGATATGAAGTATGTGCGACAAAGTGATACTCATCGGACAATATATAATTTTTGAGTAACATAGGTTGAGCGATAAATTTGGACTTGGCTGCATTTTGACTATGTTTTGAGCGATAAAGATATCTCATTGCTCAAGGCATGTCCTGAGAGGAAATGATCATCATCCAAGTCTTGTGCATTAAAGTTGAAATCGCTTATAGAGGTGTCCGATGAAGGTCCTCATCGCTCAATATATCAAGCGATGAAGTCTTGGTGAGCGATGACCTTTGCTAACTTGTGCGATAAAGTGTTGTTCAGAGAGTGCTCTTCATCGTTTAAAGCTTCA